ATTTCCTTTTCTGAAATGAATCTCACTTTGCTAATGTTCAGAAAAATTCAAACCTACTCAGTGCTTTCCCACCCCAGAAAGTCACAACTGTCCCTCAGAAAATTATTAAGCCAGGCTCTTCTTGACTGTGGACCATTAATTTGTGCTGTCATTATTCCACAGAAATTCCTGGTCTCTGTTCACCATCCTCCACCTCCAGCCCTTCTCACCCGTTTGAATTTGCTTTGCAAGTGAAATCTGGTGACAAGCTGGCTATGACTCAGGGCAGCTCAGAGCTGGAGAGCCAGACAAAGGCAGCTGCTGTCCTCAGCACTCAGCCTTGAATTGGGTTTAATTGAGGAAAAAGAAATGTGTTCAGTGTTGGGCTTATGGCTGCCCCAGGTTGTGCAGTTGGAGGAATTTGGTCTAGATTATGTGCTCCAAGGGTTGATTAGTCAGGAGAAGTTGGGCCAGTAGAGGTTGGTGCTGTGTAGCCTTTTCTTGGCAAACAGCCACCAAGATTTTAGTCAACACTGGTTCCTGACAGTTATATAATAACTTCTTCAAGTTTATAGTGTCATTGGGGGGAAAAAACCACAAGCCAGGTGTGTTGATTTTGCTAAAATATGCTTGTTAAAAATGTAAATAATCACTATAAAGGAAAAATTCAAATCGTATAAACCTTATTAATATATTCAACAAATCTTTATTTTGTGCCTACCATACGCCAGGCACTGCTGAAAGCGCTGGGGACATGGCAATGACGAACACAGAGAAAAATTATTGATGAGACATTTTATATTGTTTATGGCACTGTCTCCAAAGCCAGTGTGTAATTTATAGTTGCAGCATATCTTAATCCACACGCTAAATTTTCATTTGTAGTACTTTATTCATATTTGGATTAATAAAACTTAGAGTTGACAAAGAGATTCACATTGTTCTTCCAAACATACTTTGTTGTTGTTCTAAATATTCTTAGTTTTCCAGTAACTGAATCAAGTATCAAAGACTATTTTCTTTTGATATCTGCATCCACACTGACAAAACTGTTCATCTTTTTATTAGAAGAATTGGTTTAATTTTGAAGCAAAAGTATATCAGTTTCAAAACTATGTCTGTTTAAGTAAACTCAGTAACTCTGTGTCAACTCAGTATTATTAGGATTAAAAGTGGTGAGGGGCCGGGCGCGGTGGCTCACGCCTGTAATCCTAGCTCTCTGGGAGGCTGAGGCAGGCGGATTGTTTGAGCTCAGGAGTTCGAAACCAGCCTGAGCAAGAGCAAGACCCCGTCTCTACTAAAAATAGAAAGAAATTAATCGGACAACTAAAAATATATAGAAAACTTAGCCGGGCATGGTGGCGCATGCCTGTAGTCCCAGCTACTCGGGAGGCTGAGGCAGTAGGATCGCTTGAGCCCAGGAGTTTGAGGTTGCTGTGAGCTAGGCTGATGCCACGGCACTTACTCTAGCCCGGGCAATAAAAGCGAGACTCTGTCTCAAAAAAAAAAAAAAAAGTGGTGAGGTATTGCATAAATGGAAACAAAACTAACTTTATCAATATCAATAAACCATTCTATGGATTTTTCTTGTTTTTTTTGTAGCCAATTTACACAATGTTATTGATTACATTTAAAATGTTTTGCATATTATACAAATATTCACAGCAACTTTATTTCTCAAACATATATATTCTTTCATTTCCATTGATTAAATATCTAAGAATGGAATGACGGCTTCATATGGTAGTTGAACATTTAACTGTTTCAGAAGCTGCCACACTGTTTTCCAAAATGGTTTTATCAATTTACAGTATATATATGAGTTCTAGTAGCTCCACATCTTTGCTAACATTTTTATGGCCATTTTTTGGTTTTGTTTGTTTGTTTTTAGCCATTCAAATAGGTGTGTTGCGGTATCTCATTGTGGTTTTAATTTGCACTTCCCTAATGACTAATGATATTGAACAACTTTTCCTGTGTTTATTTGCCATTTATATCTCTTTTATAGTGAAGTGTCTATTCAAAGCTTTTGCCTATGTTTTTTAAAATTATGCTATCATTTTCCTTATTATTCAGTTTTTTATTCATTTTTTAATTGAAACATAATAAAAGTACATACTTTCAGGTACATGTTATAATATAATACTTTCATATAATTTGTAATGATTAAATTGGTATACTTGGGATATCAAAAAAATGTTTTGCATATTGACTCATTTGAAAAATGTGTAAAGTCATTTTGTTTTGTTTATATTATGAAATGTTTCAATTGTAAATAAATTCTTTCACCTCTCTGGCTAGGTCACAAGTTTTTCCCATTTTAGGAGCTTCGGATTTAGCTTATTCATATGCAGTGTGATGTTCGAGAGAAAATATGACTCACAGTGCCATTTTTTTGTCTTTGATTATTGAATACTTGGCAAGCATTGCTTTTGGTTCAAGAAAATCGTGAATTGGATTTTCTAGTATAGGAAATCTTTATAAAACTCTTCTGTAAGTCCAAGTAACATTGGTAAAGAATACAAGATCATTAGCTATATTTTATTCTTTTTCAGTCATTCCATAAAGTGGTAATGATTATTCTATAGCATTTGTACATATGTATGAAGAATTTTAACATCTGCATCCGTGACTCTTGGAGTCTGCTTCAGAAACTGAACAAAAATATTTTCAATATGTATCATACAATGGAGTAAAGCAATGAGGGAAAAGTTATCCTCTTGCTTTAAAATTCTAATACATCTGGTTTTTTGATTTAACATAGCTAGAGTCCCATCCTCATAATAGAAACAAATTTTTCTATCTCTAGCTGAAATTCTTTGACAGATGGAAAATTGTCAAAAATATGTCGTGAGTTTGAGCTTTTAGGTAATGGATTGACATTTCTTTGTAAATTTGGATGTTTTTTGAGACAGATCTACCGAAAGTTTTCTTTGGGTAGTGTCTTTATCATACAATTCATCTAAAGAAAAATACTTGAAGTTTTTCAAATTTTGAATCAATCGATCTTTGGTATCATTAGAAATATACACGTTCTATGAACAAAATATATTTTGTTCATGTATATTCTATAAGCAAATTTGTTTACTGGTTTAATTGAAAATTTCAATTTTTGTGAATGTCTTTTAAAGTCTTTTCCTCATAAATTTCTGAAGAAATGATGATAATTAGAAATTTTTTTTTTTTTTTGAGACAGAGTCTCACTCTGTTGCCCTGGCTAGAGTGCAGTGGTGTCATCATAGATCACTGCAAACTTCAAACTCCTGGGCTCAAGTGATCCTCCTGCCTCAGCCTCCAGAGTAGCTGGAACTACAGGCAAGGGCTACTACGCCCAGCTAAGTTTTCTATATTTTGTAGAGTTGGGGGTCTTGCTCTTGCTCAGGCTGGTCTTGAACTCCTGACTTCAAGTGATCCTCCCACCTCGGCTACCCGGAGGGCTAGGATTACAGGCAAGAGCCACTGCCGGCCCTAAAATAGTAATTTTTTAAATCATCCCTCCATCTGAGATTCTTTTTTGTGTGTGTTAGCAAGAATCAAGCTATTCTATAGCTTGCCACATTTTCAAACTCAGATCCCGTTAAAAGTTGTTTAAATCATTTTTGTTGGAAATTTAATTCTCATTTCATGTGACTAATTTTGTGGATTCACTTTTGCCATAAACTAAGTTACTGATGAAAAATTCCACGTTTTAAATATTGTCTTAAGTATTGCCTACTGTACATGTTTACCACTTTTGAATACAACAAACAGCTTTTTCATTTGTTCTACTGAAGTAAATTGCAATTGCCATTCATCTTTCAATGTGCACTATACTCTCGTCGCTTTTTTCACTGTCTTTTTTTAATACTGTACCAGTCATAGCTTCTGTATCTGCACTGAATTCTGCCGCAGTAATATGCCCTTGTTTAAAATTTAAATATATTTTCATATTTTTATCTAGAAAATAATTATAATTAAAATAGTATCTCAATTTATGATTCTGATTTACATAGGTATCACTCTAACTTGTGTTACCTGCATAAAATATCCAAGTAAGTATTAATACATTGTGATATGACATCTGAACATAGAAAAAAGTCATCTAAACTGAATTAATCTGTTGATACTGACTAGATTGGTGATGTGTTTATGTGTAACACTAGAAATAATGCCCATACGTTCTGGTGCAAACAACGTTCTATGAGATGCGGTGGTTAATGTGAATTGTATAATATTTCTACCAAAACAATCAAGTTTTGTTTACTGGGAAAAATGAGGATTTATTTGTTACGGGTGCTAAGGGAATTAAAGGAAATCTTGTACACTACAGTGTTTTACACATCGTAAGCATTTATCAAATAGTAGCAGCAGTGCTGGGAAACCTTTTAAATACTGTTATCTTTTGTCCCAAATTTCTCCACAGTACAGACTGCAAGATTTCTATTTTCTTTTGTGAATTGTGAGACCACTGATTTTTGATTTGGAAAGAAAGGCACACACAAAAACACAATTCAATGTAAGAATAACCCTAAAGATGTGTGCAAAATGCTCTGTAGTTCAGAGCGTCAGGAGCAGTGGAACCAAAGATCCCTTTTGGGCATAAGAACTTAGGAGAAAAGAGAGCTGAACAGAGATTCTAGGCATTTTGGATTTATTTCAATATGGCACATATTTCAGGTTTGTAAAATAGTTCTTGACTACGTGTCTGTCTCCTCCAGTAGAGTCAGCGTAGGAACAATGTCTTAAGACATCTCTGGATCTTCAGGACAGTGGACACTCTACCGATAGTTGAATTGACGCGCCATGACCACAAGGGACAGAAAGGATTCTCCGAAGAGGGATGGGGAAGTCGGAAGGGGAAGAAATGACTTGGATCCATTTCCAAGGCAAGGAGAGCAGCTCAGGTACGGCACACATGTCAGTCGCAAAGCTCCAGCTGGAAGCTAGGAACCGAGAGAACTACGCCGTATCACTTCTGCCCAGCTCCCCGCCCGACAGGGTCACTTCCGGGAGGGGGGCGGGGAGACAAGAGGAGGCGTGCCGGGAAGGAGGCCGTTTGTAGAGCACCAGGCGGAAGTGTGCCAAAGGTATCGGTGCTGCCGCTTCCGGTCCGGGTAAACGCGGCTTAGGTACACAGCGTGGTTTGTGTCGTGCGAAGATAAGCTTCTGAGGGCAAGTCACCGAGTGAAGAGGCGAGCACTGGAATCTCAGAAGTCTGGAATCTAGGGGAAACAGCGGAAAGGCCAGGAACCTGAATACAAACTTACTGCTGTTTCCGAGGGGGCAACTTCCACGGGGAACCCCTCTGCCCTGGTAACGGCCAAAGAGGAGGAGATGGCGCCAGTCAGGGAGCGGCCGTGGCCGAGACTGTGAGGAAGCGCCAAGGCGGAGCAACCCGGGAAGGCTAGGGAGAAGAATCAGAAGGGTCGCTGCCGCCACCACCATGGAAGGCGCAAAGCCGACACTGCAGCTCGTGTACCAGGCAGTGCAGGCGCTTTACCACGACCCAGATCCCAGCGGAAAGGAGCGCGCCTCGTTTTGGCTTGGGGAGCTGCAGCGTTCGGTGAGGGGCCAGAGAGGCCGTGCTGCGCCGCGGGGCCGGGGCAGGGTGGGACCTAGGCTCGAGAGGAGAGCCTGAGCCCGGCGGTTGGCCTCGTGAGGTCCTCCTTGGGGAGGAGCTGCTGCTGTGGGGTGGGGCTGCGAAGCTACATCTGTACTGCTTTTCGGAAACTAGTCGCAGCTGATCGGTCGCGAACTGGCCCTTTCCCCACCCCGTAGAATCTGATTTGTAGGTCCTGTACTTCTCGCTTGTGGCATCAATTTAGTCTTCTTTCAGTGCTACCCTTGCTATTGCTTGTTAGGCCGGGCTTTTCCGTTTTGTCTTCTTTCTACCAAACCCAGCCTGTGTTTCTCCACCTTCCACTTAAGGATGCTTTATCCATCTCTCCCCTCTGTGTCCAAGTGTTGCATCGGGCAATTTCTTCCTATTCGTAGCCTTACTCATGTCTCACTGTTCTTGCCTGTTTTCACTCCAGTTTGAGTCCTTTCTTCTCGAAAGTTCTCAGGTTTCTAGATTCTTATACCTGTGAATTTCCTCTTGCTTTGAAGTGCAACATAAGATGAAGAAAAAAAAATCAATTCTCCTTTTAGAAAATCTTTGGAATTCTCATTTTGCTTCATATTGGACCTCTAACCTGTTATTTACCTGAATTTTAGATTTTTTTTTACAAGATGGGTATCATAGCCGCTTTGATTATTCCATATAACTGTGTGAGCATCCTGCTTAATTGCACTTGCTGTATTTATTGTATTTTCACATTCTTTGATTCACGTTTTATGCTTCATCCCCTAATTTTCACACTCATGTTTGCTGTGCTTTATTTCTATGTGAATGTGCACGAGGGCTGTCCGGAAAGTATCCAGGCATATAATATGAAAATTAGAGAAATTTATCATATTAACAATGGCTAGATTCTTTCTGGACAGGCCTTGTATACTTGGTGATCTTACTGACTTCAGTCTTACATGTAAGATTTACTTTATGAATTGTGAAATACTTTGAAAACTAAAGAGGCTTATGCAGACTGGAAACGTACTCACCTTTACCTTTATTTTGGCATTTTTTACTCAAAGGCATATTTTTTGTTTGCCCCTTTCCCTTTTATCAATTTATTTTAACTCATAATTGATACTTAAAGGTGTGCTGTCCTATTAAATCAGCCCTTAGGCTGTAAGTGTATACATTTAAAAATTTACAACTTTGACTTTGAATATTACACATAAACTGGGATCCGAGTCCTGGTTTACCTCCTTGGAAGATAAAGGAGTAAGACTCGCTGTAAGTTATACAAGAAAATCATTCACATATTTTCTTTTTTTTTTTTTTTCTGAGACAGAGTCTCACTCTTTTGCCCAGGCTAGAGTGCCGTGGCGTCAGCCTAGCTCACAGCAACCTCAAACTCCTGGGCTCAAGCAATCCTACTGCCTCAGCCTCTCAAGTAGCTGGGACTACAGGCATGCGCCACCATGCCCAGCTAATTTTTTCTATATATATTTTTAGTTACCTGATTAATTTCTTTCTATTTTTAGTAGAGACGGGGTCTCGCTCTTGCTCAGGCTGGTTTCGAACTCCTGAGCTCAAACAATCCAACCACCTCCGCCTCCCAGAGTGCTAGGATTACAGGTGTGAGCCACCGAGCCTGGCCTTCATTCACATATTTTCTCATCCAGTGTTTAGTTTCTGTGATCTATCTGGGGAGTTGCAATTACCTGATCTTCCTTTAGTTTTCTAAAGTATAAATAGGAGAAATGCTACATGATACTACAAAAGTCAGCTCTTACCAACTAAACCTGTTTATTGTTGTGTGTATTTTAAACCAATATTTGCCTACTATGTGCCAGCCAACAGCTGTGTTGTGTGTTGGTAGTTGGAAATGAACCAGACAAAGATCTCTTCTTACCACTTAGGGTAGTTGCGATGATTCAGTGAGTTAATGTCTACAAAGAACTTAGAAAAGTTCTTGGAACATAGAGCTTAAATATGCTAGCAATTATTAAAGTGTTGGTCACTTTTCTTTCCTTACATTCCACTATTCTGTTATAACCTTACATCATCGTCACTACCACTATTAACAATCAGGGTCCCAACAGGAACGGATGGCACACTTGACAGGATAATTTGAGGAGAGTTTAGTTTATAAAGGTACTAGTATAAGATGCAGTTTCATGGTACCACAAGAAATAGTGTAAAAAAGTAACCTGTACCCAAGCTGCTAACATCCTAGCCCAGAAGAGCTAAGAGAGGGAGTAATTACTTGAACTCGGAAGAGAATTACGGAGTTGGCTGCCTTGAGAGGAGTGATGACTACCTGGTGAAGGAACTCAGTTAGCTTAAGGTGCCCTTGCAGGGATGGAGCTGGAGAAATGAATATCCTGACCTAGTCTCCTAAACTCCCACTGTATTCCCCATGGACCAAACTCAACCAGGAAGCCAGGGGACACCGTAAACTGTTGATAAAATCTATACAGGTGAGCCTATTAGAGCATGGGAGAGAAGGGTGGACAAGTGGGCCTGGAAAACATCTAGCAGTCAGTCACACATCACTTTTAGGCAACTTCACCATCTGGATTGACAATTCAGCTAATGCTTTGGCATCTTGATTCCTTTACTTTATTTTCTTTAGACACCTGGTTACACAGTCACACTCAGGGTCTTGTCATTACTAAAATGTCACCAATCCCCCCAAATCACTAATGCAGACATTCTGCTCTGATCACAACCCACTGTTTCCAGTTTGCTGGCTCA